AGCAGGAGGCTGCATGATTTTAAAGTGTATAACAGCAATGTCAAGTATTAGGGACACAGAGAAGTACGCTACTCTTGGTATAGACTATGTATCGATGTCTATGCTTGAATAATGATCGCTGTTTTAAATGCTACAGGTTCAAAATTACAGTCTCCATGGTGTCGAATCTATTGCTTTTTCAGCTTCTCAATTAAATGCAGAAGCGACATTAAGTATTTGACCAGCAATTGGTGAGCTAAACTATTAAGCTAACTGAGCCAACTTAGGTTCACAAAGCTATCCTAGATGCATCAGACAGACGAAAGGAAATTTTGTTATAACCACATCAGAATATGTCGCATAATTGTGAAAATGATAACCAGCTTTGCAGTCTTTCTTGTCTGTCGAGGTATGGCTCTTTCTCTCCGATTGGCAGGTTTTGAGGCTGGCAAGTTACTTCAGCTCCCCATGTTCCCTCCTGTGTCTCCTTCGTCACAGTCTGGCTGGTGATAATTACTCCAGTTTGTCCTGACGACCCAAAAGACCTGCCAAATACAAAAAGGCAGAGAAAAATTCTGGGGGGGGGGGGGGGGGGGAGTCAGACAAAGTTACAAAAACCCGCGTATATAGATAGTAGCGAAAGCGGGGCAATCAGATCAGTCATTCCTGCAGGCTGTGACTCTTATTTTCATCTTCACTCTATTTTTTATTGTTTTGCCTCCATCATGGCTAAGCTCTGATCTTGCAGTTGCTGACTGAAGAGCCTTCTGAGTTGTGATATCACACATCAGGTATCAATGGTGTGTCGAGAAATATCATTTGTTGCCGGATAGAATGGCTCGTTTACTCATTCTTCTTTCATATATCTTTTTGACAACTTATATCTAGTTTGCCTTCCATTTTTTGAACAGATGAATGGAGAGATGGGAAAGTGGATCGTAGTGAACAAAATTACTTGCGTAAAACAAAATAAAATTGAGAACATTTTCATTATATAGGAGGGCAGATGTGTTCAGTGTATGCAGTTGTCTTTATGTTTCTGCATCTGGTCCTCAAGGAGTTTGAGTGAAGTAAAGGAGCTTTTCTTTTGTTTTTGAGGTTTTATGAAAAAAAGATACAGTACCTTCATTTACCCAACAACAGATTCTTATTTGCAATGCCGACTTGGCTACTTTTTAAAATTCATTAAAAAAAAAAAAAAATATATATATATATATATATACATACATATATACACACACACACACACACACACACACACACATATATAGTGTGTGTCGTCTCTGCTGAATGTAACCTGCCATTGTGATTCTTTTTGAAGTTGAGCATTTAACCCCCCCACCACAGAATAAACAAATGAGGGAAATTGTATTCAAGTGCAATCCAGTGTCTGCGCCCAGAG